GGAGAAAAATCCTCTAACAAATCCTTTCTAACACTTGTAAATTGTCGTAAGTCATAGAATATGAACTTAGGATGCTCAGGAACACACTCAGAACATCCTATAGTTAGATCGTCAACGAGAAAAGGACGGAGATGTCATTCTCTGATCATGTCTCGCTGGTGCTTTGAACTTGCCCTGCATGGCCACGGCAAGACGGACAAGGTACATCATCTTTGGCGAAAATTACAGTGAAGGGGGTCGCAATATGCTGTGCGAAGGAGGGTTATAGCTGGTTTCGAAAGAAATTTTTTCAAACTGCCTATCTTTCTCCTGTCTGGTTCACACGCGGTATGAACCCTTTCCTCCCTCCCTGTTCAGTAGAGATGTTTTGAGAAAATCGGGTAAGATTCGGGGAGATTAGTTGAGATGGAAGATGGAAGTAGGTACAGTGGATATCGCTGCAGTTAGCTGGGAGCTGTCAGGGCGTGGTTAGCCTACCCACGGTTCCCTACCACTGGTTGTTTTTTTTACCTGACTCGGTCTGGTAGAAAATGTTGCCGCGGGAAGGTTCTTTCCTAACTTCTCGGCACAGCGTGCCCGATTACGACCATATCACCATCGGTTTTGAAAGTGTCGTATCAAAAAATCTGCGGGTGGGCCGGGCCGTATTTAATAAATGAAAATTCCATGCGGGATGATTCTTCCATTATGATGAGCAAGACCAAAGAGCGAGCAATAAAGGACCAGAGTATGAGATCTCCTCCCATTTTTCGCTTTTTGATCATCTAACTCGGCCGCTGAAGCTGCTTGGATGTTCAGAGTACGTCACGCTAAATGACAAACTAACCGTCTTGGACAAAATAAAACATTTCTAGATTTTTTGATGCTTTCGCTGGTTTCAGCCGAGGAGGAGGTCTTTCAATGACAGGCTAAAAAAATTTCACTTGTTTGTAAAATTCGTCTAGATTTTTGCACATGAAAAGCCACATTTGCTGTTGTTATTCACTTTCATCGTCGTCCTTGTGCCGTTGTTTTGGCTTCGTACTCGTTCGAGAAGTCTACGATTTGCCACTGGCATCTATTACTCCAACTGAAGTTCTTTTTTTCCCCATTCAGGCAATGAAATGTTTATCGTTTAATCAAAAAACCGGATAGGTAGCTGGACCATGTTTTCGCAACCATCGCGCAATAATCGGCTTGATAATCCTTCTGTTTTTCATAGATACATATTTATAGGCGACATGGCCACCTCTTGCTCCCATACTTCAGATATTTTTTGGATTCACGTCATTGCTACAAACATGTTGACAGGGTCTGCAAGGCCGGTTGGCCTGATAGAGCTTTGCTTTAATATTGATTGTGGCTCTCCGTCAGCACATTTAGAATAGAACACGCTATGCCGGGACTCACTACGAGTTGGTCTTTGATGCCTGAGGAAACGCGGAGGAGGTGTGTTGTTAATTCTTAGATGTGTTTGGACAGTTGGGTAAAGGCAGTAAGAGTGGGATATACATCGTTATTGTGTCGTCTGCGCTCTCTTATGCTCATGCTGCAGGCCCAACTGATTTGTCAGCTATCTACTGTCTTTACGCTCACATATGAATTCGTGGACACGCCCACCACACCATCGAGATATGAAGTGCACATTCGTTCCGCTTCTTAAATCGCTTGTTTTATTGTCGCTCATTATGGAAAATCTCGTCTATGGAAGCTCATGCGTTATTTGACCCCTTAACTCTCGCAATGGCCTTTGATGGCCAGTTTCTTTCAATTCTTACTCATCTGGCCTATTCAGCAAGATGCCTCACTACAAGCTGATCTATTTCGATGCTCGCGGCCGTGCTGAGGTTACTCGACAGGTAACTAAACCACTACTATGTGCAGTTGTACACCCCATATCCCTGAGCCAGAGTAGGCGTGGCATTTGAACATGGCACGGAACTGGTTACTCGTGGAATATTCCAGTCTGGGACAACTGTCATCTTGTTCTGTGTTGGACAGAGACACGACAACAGTTGTGTCAAGATGGAAATATTCCACCAGAAGCATAGACACCTTCAGGTTAAGTTGAAGAATGCAGCCCCGCCTACCCGATCTCAGGGATCTCGAGTATATGTCCATTCTAAACCAGTCCTTGACCTGAACATATGAGCTAAATAATCGCCAGTAAAGGGGATTATGAAAAATCAGACAGATTACCAGACTAGAGACACATTTCGTGGACATCTAAGCTGTGTACTTACATGGAAAAGGAACACAAGTTAGCAGGAGTGCGACCTGGGCTGTGCCACTTGGAATTTGGAAGTACACAAGCAAGATACTGGGTACACGCGATGGCCAGAAACCCCACACAGAGGGATAAATATGACTACTACAAGGTGCTATGATCGACTTCCCCACCCTTGTTGTGTGGGCGGCGATGTGTTCTCACCCTCACTTGCCTTGTTTTTTACTCGCACACTGAGTGCGTCGGTCTTTCTTCACCTCATGCTCATTCAACGCGGATGATCGACGAGACCTTCTTCGGGGCTTTTACTGGTTTTCGTGCGCCTTTTTCAGCTACTGTCTACGAATATGCCTGGGACTTACTACCCTCTTAGCTGGCGCAGTCGTACAAAGTGACCTTCAATGCTTCTCATTCTCGATTGATCAAAACCATTGTATGGACATGTGGAAGAGGAAAACTGAACGTTTGAACAAGTTTAGATGGTGTAGTTCTAGACCGCTGTTATCCGTATGACGCTAGCAATCTTCGTCTTCCTCCCTACGGAAGACAGCTTCAATCGAAGGCGTCCTAACTGTAGTACCACTAGTTTCTCCGTTACGACACTGTCTGCGGTTACGAACCTGTCCATATGGCACACGACTGGGAGCTGTCCTTCTAAGACAATGTGTGCTATTCTTCCAAAGGTTTTGCTATTACTCATAGGAATCAAAGCGTTTTTAGAGGGAGAAGGTAGTATGGCGTCGCCAATGGGCAACCTTGTACAGTTTCATTGGAAAAAATTTCAGGTGAAGATGCTGAAATGGTGAGCGGGTGCCCTTTTCGTCGGTTCTTTGCGTCTGCCTTTTCTCCCCGTTGTGAGTGCTGTAATTCAGATCTCGATGCTATACTGCCGACACCGACAGTATTCCAAGTAACTGTGTGTGCAGAAATCTAAATATACAAGGGAACACTTTTCTCAAATTTGAAGGCGGACTTTTCTCACCAACTTCTGACTGGATCACGAATTCCCGCCAGGCCGTCTTGACAGTGCCATCGAGAGATTCTGCCACGCGATTGTGATTCGCTGCCTGATTTCAGCGACCCACCCTGCGCCCAGAAGTGTTCCCTATGGTCCGCGATTTTTCCGCCACTGTAGACCACTTGTTGAGCTTCGCCGAACCCGGTAATCGAGAGGTTTAGGTCAGGTGACACACTTGGATATTCCGTCTTCTTCAGGTACTCAACGCCCTTCCATTCCAAGTAGGCGAGAGTTTTTCCAACGCCCTTCGATTTCCATGTGGTGGCACCCATGCTGTAGCCAGTACCAAAGTTTCAAGAAGGTCAAGGGCGACCGACATGTGAGGATATTCTCCTGGAGCTGTTCGATGTAACAGGGTGCTTTCATCTCGTCCAGGGTTCACAAAGAAAATATCGGTTTCCCGTCCCAGGAACTTCCGGTCCATACCATCAACCCGCGCCTTGGCGACTGCGGTGAAGATGATATCCTGGACCGTAGCGACGTTGTCGGAGCTGCTCGATGTTGGAGGTCTTCCAGATCGAGAGTACTGGTCTCCAGGTAGCTATCCATGGGTGACTCGGTACAAGTTTCGCAGCTGTTTGGAGGTGACGTGAATTCCATAGGCTTTCTCCAGTCAGGCTGCGATTGGAGATGGCTTCATATTTTGGTGTACATGAAGGTGATGGACGAGAGCCTGCTCCTGCTTATCGAGGAACATCTTGGGTATCTTCCGCCCTGGTACTCGTATCCACGTCTTCTCTCTGGGCTGCGTATTCTTTACTGATATGTGGGCGAAGTGTCTTTTTTTGTCCCCCCCTCACCCTTGCTGCACTTCTGGCTGCCAACAATGCGGTAACAAAACTCCTATATTATTTTCTGATAACCTTTCAGTTCAACAAAAACCAAACAAAATAGAGTGAGGTGAGAATTCGAATGTCTTGTGGGAAGACTTCTGCCCGTTACTTGGTATTCTTGTGATAACAAAGCAAATGAATTTTTTAGCTTTTTCTTCTTGCTGGGCAAGAATTCGAAGATGTGCGTCTGTCCCAAGATGAGTGGCTAAAACAGAAAAATGGTGAGGAAGTAGATAACTTTCTTCCTTCCCTTTTCAAGTAGCTGAGTTGTGATGAAAACTCCAACAATACAATGAAATGAAAAGGTTTGCTCTTTCAGAAATGCCGTTCGGTCAATTGCCAGTGCTCGAGGTAGACGGAAAGCAGTTAGCTCAGTCACATGCCATTGCTCGCTATGTAGGCCAGGCAGTTTGGTAAGTATTCGTGCACACACCACTTTTCGTTCGTCCCTCAATTTGAAAGGAACCCCCTCACTATAGGTTTTGCCGTAAATAAGGTGTATTTTGAAAGGCTCTAAAAAGGCTCATATAGACACTAGCGGATAATTCAAAGTTTCTAAGGTCATGCCGGCAAGACCCCTTTCGACGAGGCGCTCGTCGATTCGGTCGCAGATCAGTACAAGGACTTCGACACGGCGACATGGCCCTTCTTTGCTGTGTTATTAGGTTTCGAAAAAGGTGACTTGGTGAGCGAACCATGCTTTTTCTGTTACATTTTTGTACACCCCATATCCCTAAGACGCGGAAGGCGTAGCTGCGCACATCGTTCAAACCTTGGCGTGGGATGGGTCAATCGTGGGAAGTTTCAGTCTGAAGCAACGGTCTTACCTTGTGCTGAACGCCCACCGCATCAGAATCTAGAGTATGTACATCAGCAGGGAAATATCTTTTCAATTTTTTTTACCGAATAAGGGTGAGTGAGAGGTTGGTTGGGCAAGTTTTGGACTTATGCCGTGGCGCCTCCTCTCCAGCGAGCTTCTAAGCATGCTCATGTAGGTAAAAAGTTCTTCATATCATGAAGGAGATTAATCAGTCACAATTTTATTAAGGGAATATGGTCTAGTAACAAGTGCTGCCGCTAATCCGGTGTACGGGCGGAACCACATCCAAAAACGGTTTTCGCGGGAGCCAGCCGGGCAGTTTTTCCCTCCCTACTGGCAGTAGACTCGTTTTCAATGGTGAAAAGAATGACAGCGTGATCGGTCGACTCCCGGTCTAATCTGGATTGTATTCGGAATTTATCACGAGCGAAAGCGAAAACACCAGAAGTTCCTTCCTTTACAGTCATAAGATTATATTAGAGGTTTTTTGTTTTTTTTTGTACTGGTAAACTAGTTAGAGTTCATACTTATACTTATTTTATACTCTGTCCTAGGAAGGCCAACTAAACAACACATTCAACCCAGCTCGTGATAAATTGTTCACCTTTCTGACGAAGTTCCTTCAAAATTCTGGATCTGGTGAGCATTTTATACTCTTGTTCACTGCGTTGGGAGAGTCAGGCAGTATGAGTGTGTCACGTCGTCAAAGCCGTTCTCTGCCTTCTTGTTGAAGCGCGCATGCGACAAAAAGTGGTAGAAAACGAGTAAACGATATGATACAGTCATATCATTTGCTCGCTTTAACAACTGGTGGAGAACGGGTTTGGCACCGCGCCAAACTCATCCCGCCTGACACGCCCAACCGTTCGCAGCCAACTATACTATATCTCATGCAACAATGCCTGTAAGTTATACGGTGTGCCATCCTTACGATAAGCGGTATAACATAATCTGACAAGTTGATCTACAGAATGTCTGGCGTTTGAGGATTGCTGGACCGTCTCACACCTCCATAGTCCCGGTCCCGATAATTTTCATGCTGGGTGGACATCCAAAAATCAGCTGTTGTCCCTGACCCCTCGATTTTCATGCCTGCAAGACTCACAGTAGAATGACATTACTCGGCACACTCCACTGCTTGTATGTTACGCGTATGTTGCACGTATGTTACGCGCTTGTTTGAAAACGTTCTCTTTGGCCCAAACTTGTGCCATCTAGGTGAAGAGAATGAAGTCCAGGATGAGGAGCGGAGCGGAAGGCAGCCTTGCAAGTGGCGTAACATACGCGGGATCAACGCTAAAATTGATTGAACGTGAAAGTGCTCCGGTTTGTCGAATTGGCTATCCTTTACTAGTTTCTGTAAGTCCATGCAACGCTCTCTCCTAAACAACACCATTCCCCTACTGGGGTTATACCATTTTCGGGGCGGAACGCTGCAAAGTAAAGGCGTAGGGAACAATATTTCGTTAGTGGCGCTCGCTTTCGGCCACTTACTCCGCCTGCAGACTCTACGTTTAAACAGTCCAAGAACGATGCTGGTGGAAAAGTAGTGGAGAATGGAAGGTCTTTTCGTGTTTAGAGCTTCAAGGCGTTTTCTTGGTTGGTTAGGAGCAGCACTGGGGGATTCAATTTAGATATCCAGATATCAGTTGATCTGTCAAGTCTGGTGAAATGGCAAGTTTTATACGGTACCTCCAATAAAATTAGATTTTTGTTCCTACAACCCTGCTAAATGACATTGAAACAGGTTAGGATGCGTATATTGCCAAGAAAAGGGCAGAAAAGACATAATGAAGTCCTATATGCGAATTACAGATATCCTTAGTTATTTTGGGAAAGTTTTTCAGGAGTTATTTTGGGAGAAATTTTCAGGATATCTTGTCGGAGACTCATTAACCTGGGCAGACCTGCTAGTGGCCGAACTGGATACATATTCAGCGAAGATACCAGCACTATATGAAGGATTTCCAGATGTGAGCGCTCACTTTCTCAATAGCTTTTTCTGCAAGACTTTTTTGGTACTGTCGATATTTTATCAAAATAATTGCTCTACATTTCTGCTTAAAACGCTTTATACCCTTGCACAAAACCTGCAGACATAGTGAAAGAGGTTTCGATAAGGAACACCCAAGTACTGCGGTGCCCTATTAAAGGGTCAGAAACGTTGCGTTGGGTTCTCATCGTTTTCTGGCTCCCCTCCCACACGTACCCAACTCAGCGCACGTTTTGTCGCCTCACACCTCCTTTTTTTGTAGTTGGTCTTGGATCATTGTTTTACCCTGCCAACAAGCCTTCTACCCTCGCGGTAAATCGGTTACCAGATTCGTCTGGGAGCGTAAGAACACGACATCGGCCGGCCCCGCAAGTCACTGTACTACAGGGGGGCCAAAAAAGTCATTCCGGCCGAGTCACATATGAGCGAAGTTTTCGCAGCCCAGACAGAGCGGAAGTGGATATGAGTACCAGGGCGGAAGATACCCAAGATCTTCCTCTATAAGCAGGAGCCGGCTGCCGCCATTCACCTTCATGTACACCAAAATATGAAGTCATCTCCAGTCGCGGCCTGAGTGGAGAACGCCTTTGGAATTCACGTGGCCTCCAAACAGCTGCGGAACTTCTTGAATGGAATCACCCATGGATAGCTACCTGGAGACCAGTACTCTTGATCTGCAAGAAAACATCGAGCAGCTCCGGCAACGTCGCTACGGTCCAGGACATCATCTTCACCCCATTCACCAAGGCGCGGGTTGATGGTGTGGACCGGCCGTACCTGGAATGGGAAGACCGATATTTTCTTTGTAGACCCCGACTGAAGGTGAGCGCTGGCGGTTACATCAAGTAACTCGAGAAGGATATCCTCCCTACATGTGGTCGCCCGTACCTTCTTGGAGACCTTGTGCTGCTACAGGATTGGGTGACAACACATTTAATCGAAGGGCGTTGGAAAAACTTTCGCCTACTTGGAATGGAAGAACGTTGAGTACCTGGAAAAGATGGAGTAAAGCGGGGGTCCTGAACTAAACCCCCTCAATTACTCGGTTCGGGCGGAGCTCAACAGGGTGGTCTACAGTGGCGGAGAAATCAACGATCTCGCTCAACTCCGGTACCCACTCACTTTCGCGCGGCCGAATCTCTCGATGGCGCTCCTCCAGAAGGCTGTGGCGGAGTATCATTATAGTATTTAATGTGCTCTTTAATATGGTAGTAAAAATGTCCGATAAAATTTAATAAAGTGTAACTTATAGCGCCTTGAAAGTCATGGAGGCAAAATGACTTTTTTTTGCCCCCCCCCTGTAGGCCACATCGCATTCAATAAGCCACTACGATTCTGAATGGAAGTAGAATGCGTGCCGCATCCCACAAAGGGATTGATCAACGGCGAAGACTTTATCCTTTATCCTTTTTTGACCAATCATCAAGACCAACTGCAAAAGGGAGGACCTTGTCGAGGGCTAGTTCGACCCCTTTTTTCTTCTGTGGTGGTCCAACTAGATCAACACTTTCGATTAAGAGTTCTACGACGTAGAACGCTCAATCGCTAACTATAAAAGTGTCTTTGAACGTACAGGTCTAGTTGGGATTCATCTGATCGCGTCTAGAGCTTCTATTAGTAAGTTTACCTTCCGTAGACAGGTGAAGTGAGCTATGCGAGCGGAAAATATGCATGTAGCTCGCTGAACGGCCCTCTCTCATGCTCAGATGACTTCCTCTTTCTTCTCCTCTCCCCTTGGGCGCTATGATAGTGATAATCGATATCATTTCTAGAAGTCGAACGGTCAGCTATGAAACCAAACGAGTACAGGTAACTGGCATGAGAGGGAAAGGAATAAGGTTGACCGTAGTAGCACATCACAACTTGCCCCCACAATGACTTGCGAGGACCAACCAGTGTTTGAGAGGATAGGGGGAGCTCATCAGGCCATGGTGAGCCCAAGCGCGAGCCGGTCCGTGATTTCACCCCGGAAATGTGCACGCGGTATATGGTGGAGCCTTTCCACTTCTGCAAAACAGTTGGTTGCGCGAAATTATCACAAAATGGGAGAGGGGGACAAAAAGTTGGCTAGCTCATGTAGCGCATCAAGAAATAAGTTCTTGAATTCGAACATTCCGAGCCTAGTTCCAATGAAATGAAAAGAAGATGAATATTTGGGACAAAGGGAAAAGTTTTCACTTCGTTAGTTTTGAACTTACCGTTATGTAGTTGATATTGTTTCCAGATGAGAGCCCATGCCGGGAAGGTTCGATCGGATCCGATTCTGAAGAAGTGGCTTGAGTGTCGACCTACGACACAATTCTAGGCAATTACCTAGATCTGATGGAGATTCTCCCGCACACTTTTATTGAATATTATTGATAAAGTTTTCCTGTGTTGCTTTTCGATTTGATTTATTGCTTACAAACAATGTACAGATGAGCTGCCTGGCTCATTAGAGGAAAATTGACCTAAATGGTAAGTGCTAAAAACTGTGGGTGGAACGAGTATGGGCCGCACTAACCTTGTAGCCAGTTTCGCGGCGCAAAAGTTGTAAGGTGGAAAAGTTGAGGCCAGTTGGCTTCAGTGACAGGCCCGCCTCGCTTATAGTGACCCGCCTCCAACCCCCGCTTTCCGAGATCTGCCTCTATGCTGCGAAGGCAGTGCGATTAACGAAGCAAGTGTCTGAGGATGTCCAGCTGTCTCTGTGAGATTTACGCTCAGTGAAAAGGGATGAGCCGACTCGCGCCACCGCGACCGTCTTTTGCGCCTTTTTACCGCAGTACAAATGCTGTGGCTGTGGAGGATCCCACCAGTTCGCCTTCATCCTTTTCCTGTTCATGGAGATGGAACCTTGACAACTTATTTGCTTCTTCATCCCGCCCTCTGCTGATGCTCCTCATCGCAAGCCGTGCCTTCAAAGGGACGTGAAAGTTGCGTCTATCTGATGTTCGAAAGAAGCATTCGGGCAGGATATGATCATGGGCTTTCTCCAAAATGAGCGGAATTCAGGATTGAGGGCTTTTTTTCCAGTTGCAAATGGTTTTACCTGCTCGGGGTGTGCCTGCACATCCGTCTTTCACTGGATCATACCAAATGTTTGGAACCTACTTATTTCCGACCTTCACTGGTGGCTAGCGAAGGCTGTCAATGCTAATCGTCAACCTTACGATCCAGTAAATCTTGAATAAAGCACAAACTAAGCAATCCCAATCGAGAAGGCCATCAAGATTAAATAAGATACGGTCAGTGCTTTGTTCAGCAGGTATTTGGAAAGAAAACTGCCTCGAATACCTCTTATATCTGAAGACTGGGAGGCTGTTATTTGCGCAAAAAGGCCTGGCTTGGCGGCGGCCTATGTTTCTACTGGAACTCCCTTTTGGACGTTTTTATCGCGTCTTTTGTCCAGCACAAGATAGTAGATACGGTTAGAAAACAGCAAACCCCCACAACAACACCAGGCCACGCTCATGTTCAATGACTATGTAACCACACCCTGTAAACGCGGGCGCCTTGATGCCTCGACTGCCATCGCGATCCCGTGGTGACCTGACCTTGAATTTCATAGCTTCATCCTTTTCTTTTTCTTTCCTAATTTATAGCCACCAAATTCCGCTGCAGAGATACAAAGAAACCGCGGAGTCGCCGAGCTTTGGCCTGAACGCGCGTGACAGATCAGAAAACGGCAAAATGGTAAGCAGGAACCGGTAACTGCTGCTAATGAAACCACCACTTCCGAACAAAACCGTATCATCTCCGAGTTGCCCCTGGTGGTTTCAGGGCAGTGTCTTCGTAAACTCTGCTTCTGCGACTTTTTTTGTTGCTTTGCTAATTTGCGAACACTCATTAAATGAAAAGTCACAAATACGACTGCTTTCTTGTGAGAAAGTTATTGTGAACCTCAAATTTGTATAAATTAGTTGGCCTCGTTCTTTTCACATTAACTCCACTGAAGACGAACGCATTCATACAGCTGCAGAAGAGAACTTGAAACAAGCCACAAAAAAGTCCGCGTAATTGCGGCTACGCGGGTCCAACCACCGACAACTTTGAACTCCAATCTCCTTGTGAACGCGTAAGACTTCTCTTTTTCTCTGTAGCAGCGTCTCTTCCGCAATACACTGCTATGGACCACTGGACTTTGTCTACTCCCAGATTTTCACGCGCGACTGATAAGTAGCTCACCCACGGCGCCGGAGTCCCCTCCCCTCAAAAATACCATTCCTGGCTTGCCATACGTTTTTTGCACGTTTCGATGCTCTGGCAGTCGCTGCCCTCTGTCCGTATGCGATGTCACGTAACCCTATGCGCAGCAGACACGTTCTGTTACGTTTGGGTTGCCGGGCGCGCGCACGCGCACGATCAGGGTACATCGTTGTCGGGGAGTCCCCAATAGGAGGTCGTATTTGGTCACCGGGAGGGGGGGGCTCGTATTTATACTGAGTAAAATTTATTTCGGTAGTTGAAATTTTCCATCCCTTTCATGGACGTTGTAAGGGGAGGAGGGTCGTATTGTATTGACTTTGGGAGGGGGATCGTAATTTACGTTTGCGTTGTGGGATGGAGGTTGACTTATGTGATTTTCCTGTTTTACGTAGCTAGGTCCCCCCTCCGCCCCTCTTCCCGCTGACCAGCTCGATTCGAATAGGAAGACAGAGGCTGGGGGGGTTGCGTACTCGTACCAACTCTCAGAGAAGGGGGGGGGTCGTACGGGCTTGACCAAAATCCCCAACTAATGCTGTGCCCTGCGCACGATACGCAGCACGCTTCGAGGTGCATCAGCTTGTGGCTGGAGCAGACACAAACACATTTGAATCCAAGAAACAAACCTTTCAGTCAAAAAAAATTGAAATTAATTAAAGAAACTCAATTTCAACAAAATTATCTCTGTTGGATGCCGCATCTCTTTGACATATATACTACGAGGACTATGCAGTGACTCGTCCGGAAGAGCTCATGTATTCTCCTGAGTGGTAATTAGGAGACGACAAGGAGTTATCCTTTCCGAAAGAAGGATTGTTTTACAGTTTTGATAACTCGTCTGTCGGGGGTGGCATATTACGATTGTTTGTCGCGTACCCAACTATGGGCTTGGGTACACTAGCTTCCCAATCGAGTCATCTCCTAGTAAACACTCAGGAGAATGTATGAGTTTGGAATTCCGGACGAGTCACCTTTTCCGGAAGACTATTGTTTGACATGTTTTGACACGTCGGTGGCAAATTGATCGCGTCGCGCGTGATGGGACTTCCGGTCGCTTGTCCATTGATTCTGCCCGAGCACCGAAATATTCAGCTAAATGGTCCAGTACAGGTTGCTGTATTTTGATGGACGTGGTCGCGCTGAAGTGGCTCGACAGGTAAGTAAAGCTAGGAATTTTTTTGTTAATGGTGACACCGCGAGCAATACGTGAATGAGTACACCAAACTGTGGAACTTATTTTTTGCTAGCAGGAATGGAAGCTATGCTCGAATAAAGTTCCCTCATATGTCTCTTACTCCACAAAAAATTCCCCACGAATTAGTACAAAGTTTGTCTCAAGCGGAAATCTCTCAAAGTGACTGCTCTGTGAGTGAGATGAGCACTTCTCCGTTTTGCGACCAAGTAAAGCAGCACTTTTCCGGTCTATTTTTGCTAATTCTTTACTTTCCCTCTTTACTGAAAGCGGGTTGAACTTTATCCGGTCTCGAACACACTAGCATACCTATTGGAGACCAACTTTTTTTCGTTGACCTTTGAAACTACTTGCTGACTCTCCCCCTGAGGCTACGTTCATACTTTGCATCAGCGTTGGCAGACGGGTGCGTATTGAGCGTTTTCGACGAACGGAGTTTTAGCGTTTCGACCGACTTAGAAGGTATAGGGGCGCTGTTTGTCGACGGGGGGGGGGGCATTTTGTATTATCATTGCTTCCCTAGTTCCGGTTTACAAATCTCACTCTGGTAAAACTTGTGAACTCTTGTGAAGCTGAAGTAAGATCGTCTAGCCACTATCCTAAAACGTGTCAACTCGAGAAACGGCTGCCTAGATGGGTCGACACATCTATGGAAAGCAAAATGCCCCCCCCCGTCGACAAACTGCGCCAGGTATAGGTATTGATTTCGCGATTACTAGCGTACGGCAGCGTTTGAGCGATTGCCCGCGAAGAGGGCGAAACTACCAATGAGAACTTAGTTATGGCAAAAGTCGTGCCCCAGGCGGGAGTCGAACCCGCACCTCACGCTTTCCGGGCGAGTGCGCTATCCGTTACGCCACCAGGGCCGCTTTTACCCTCTCAGCTTAACGGCTTTTATGCCGTAGCCTATCAGCACTCACACGTTTAATATGGTGAGCGTGAGGTGCGGGTTCGACTCCCGCCTGGGGCACGACTTTTGCCCATAACTCAGCATTCTTGTGATAACTTTCGAAGCGCGAACTGCGGCGTAAAACAGCAGTTATCATAATAGAAAACCAATGAAAACGTTAAAAATGGTGGCGTGCGCTCAAAACGTTGACGCAAAGTATGAATGCAGCCTGGCGTCTACGGTGCGGTCGCTTCTGCTCACTTTGCTCAGGGTATTCCTTATTTCTCTAGTACTTTCATCGAAAGGAGGCAAAAGGAATATTTCAGTTGTTCGCTCTCGCTAATCAAGACTACGTTGATGTCCGCATCAGCCATGAAGACTGGCCGAAGCACAAACCTGGTACATTGATTTCCTGCCGTTTTACTGCAGGGAACAATTTGTATAAGTAGACATCCCCGATGGTGAATTTTTAGATATGCCTTTCGGTCAGGTGCCAGCACTTGACGTCGATGGAAAGATTCTGCCGCAGTCGTTTGCCATTAATCGATATCTAGCCAGGCAATTCGGTAAGTTCCTTCGGTAGCTTGTTGGTAAAGAATTTCGTCGATAGGTTTCCTGAGCATCAACCATAACATGTCAAAGCTATGAGTGCGAAGTCCTGCTAAGGGTAAATGTTATTTTATTGAGGTTATGCTGGCAAGAACGCTTTCGAGGAGGCGATGGTGGACGCATTCGCTGACCAATACGGGGATTTTTACAAAGAAGCAACACCGTATCTCTATGCAGTGTGGGGATTCAAAAAGGGTGATGTGGTAAGTTCCCGATAATTTCTAATGCTAACGTAGTTAGAGGGGCTTCTACAGGGACACTAGACCAGACTCTGAACGTCTCCGCTCTTGAAACGCTGAGCAGGGGAGAGAAAGGAACACTGCCCTTGCCCGCGATAAAGTGTCATTGTAAGGCCGACTAAAGGTTCAGGTTAGACAGAATGCGATGTTGTTGGTATCACACAGTTAAAAAAATAGTTTACTATTAAACCAATAAAATAACAACGGCACGGAATGAAAAGTGATAAAAGATTTTATGAAATTCTTGATCCCTGGAGTCGGATGCGGGGGTTGGTGTTGGATGCCGCGGAAACGCAAGGCTCGCTCGAACGTCTAGTCTGGAAGGGTTGGTGTCCTGGAAGAGACCTGGGGAGCTGTGGGGTCTTTCGGTCCACCCCACGGCCCTTCTTCCCCCGTCGACTATTGCCACTAAGGCCCCAGTCACGCCACAAAGGCCGCTAGCCACGTAGGCTATCACTAAGTCCCGAGCCACTCAGGCTCCTGATGCCACTAAGGCTATTCGGGATATCGAGCCACAAAGGCTCCGTTGACTCTCCGCTCCGGGTGGGCCACCAAGGCGCAAGTAGAGAGGGAGAGCCCCAAGAAGATAGAGATGATGACGACGAAGAAGAGAACTTCTGACGACCTCCTTACTAGTAATCGGACCACCTTTTATATGCCTCGGTCCCGCCTCCCCGCGCTCCACTGACCAATCCTCTGACCCCTGAGATCAAAACCCTATAGTGCCCTGCGCTTCAGCGGCATTCGCAAAGGGCGGTTTTGACCCGCATCCTCCTCCCTTGCTGTGTCATGGATAATTCTTTCCTATTATGAAACAGCAGCTGATAAGTAATTCCCTCGATTAGTTGCTTTCAATTATGAAACAGTAGCTGATAAGTAATTCCCCAAAGAAGAAAAAAGCAAGAAGAGTCCTCAAGAACACCATAAACAAAATCTCTCCCTGACAGTCACACCGCCCTGCGGTCTCTGTGCAACCCCTGGCTCACAAATCGCTTTATCACATATCCCAGTAGTGGATATCATCCAATGCAAAGAAAATAATACGAAAAACAACAAAAACAGGAAAACACTTTGAAAAAAGAAAATTTCAAAAACTCGGCGTCCGAATTTGGGGTTACGGTAGCGTGCGTCTTTTAGTGCATGTCGAGCTTTTGCACCACGAAAATTACATCACTCGTGATTTTTACGCGTTTCACCTTGCGAGATGGGTTGCAGTTGGCTGCATGTGCTCCTAATGAATAAAATGTAATAAAGGAGAGCAGAATTATTTATGGGCACGAGCGCGGTCAGCAAAAAGGGCATGCAATTCCGATTAATGCCCGCCGCCCCAACAAAGAACAACTGAGCGGCCCTCCGTCAGAGGGCATCTAGCAAGTGGGCGGTCCAACTGGGCGGGCGTTAGAACTAGAGCGGCTGTAGCTCGCTCCTCGCTCGCTGTGGAAGTCGCGAGAGTGGACAGGGCAAGGACTACTTGCACAAGAAGGACGAGCATGTATTGCTTGAGCGCGAGGGCTGTCTTGAAGGCAGAGCCTAGGACGACCAGGGTTCATGCATGTGTTACTAACTATCCTATCCAGCTTTGTTTGGGAAAAAGGCGTGATAGTGATACCCGGATGCTGTCTCTGGAACTCTGTCCGTGCTGCCGCATGGCCAACCAGATGCCTAACTGTAGCCGAACGCGCTACTTGTCTGCGCCCTCTCGCTTCTGATTATTCTCTAACCGTTCGTGTTTCGCTGTGAGATCTTGACATCGGCGCAAGTGCTGCTCCTCGGACAGCGTCGGCGAAGTATGGAGACAGCACTTGGTACTTACCCACCCTTCCCGCGCACTGCTGACCAGAAAAATTTTCACGCTACAGCAGCTGCGGAGCCATTCGTCCCGCTTATGGCAAGGCTGTCCTCGGAGGCAGAGTACGGTTCCTTCTAAGACAGAAGATTGCATAGGTCGGGTAGGGAAAGAGGCGTCGTTGGCAAAAGTAGGAAAGCTACCATAATGGAAATGAGGATTTTCGCCTCAAGGAAGGGCCTTTGAGGTGGGCTATTCGATTTTTGCAAAAGGAGTCGCATTGGAGGTGACCCAGTTTTGCATTTCCGAGAGTCGTTGAAAACTCCTCGTCTGCACCCCAGCGCACAAATCAAGTTTTATCCACACTAGACCTTGTAAGTTCTTCAAGGTGAAAAGCTCCAGTGCGGTAGTGTATTTGGAATAAGCGAGTCTGTTTTCAATTTTACTGTTCAAACGTGAGCTTTCTCATGAAGGGTTCCACTTTTTCCTTCCTACAGTAATATTGACATATTCTAGAATGCACTGGAAAAAGATGTGTTCATACCGGCGCGTGACAAATACTTCACACTCATGACTAAATTCCTCAAGAAAAGTTCATCAGGTCAGTATTTTTATATCCAGTGAATGATTAGGTTCATGAAAACGGTGGAGTCATCTTCTTCGACCGAAAGTGAATGAGCCCTTTTTGTTACGCAGAACTTCAGGATTTCTCGTTGGAGATTCGGTAACATGGGCTGATTTGCAGTTAGCTGAATTGGCCTCGTTCACCGAGAAATACCCAACACTTTACAATGGATATCCAGAGGTGAGTCCATTCTCTTTGCGCACTGGTGGGAAGTCAAAAATTATTCCTGCTGTTCTTACTACCAGTAAAGAGTCTGTGTTGCGTGACCGATTATTTTCTGAGTAGACCCACATTCAGAAGGTTTTACTTTATGAGCGTCAACCTTCACCTTGTCTCAATTTTGGGAGTATCCTCCAGGCTCGATCGTCTTGAAAAAAACGTGCTCCTTTACGATTTTATACTTGTAACTTCCAAAGGAGAAACGGGTGGGATGGTAGGATCCGTTGAAAAAATACAACTGCCATTCAGAAATATTGAC